TAAAAATACAACAATGCTCTATAATTCAGAAATGCAGTGCAGCATAACTTTTTGCCTTTTCATTTTCAAAAGCACTTTAGTTTGAAAGCGGCCATGAAAGCGGAAAGTGACCAAGTGGCTCCAACCGGTGACGGTTGCTAGGGTGGAATTTTGCGCCAAACATTGACAGACAAACCTAAAGGCAATGAGTTTTGACTGACATGTTTTTCACCCTATCACCTGAGACTCAACGTGAGCGCGGACCAATCAAATCGCTCTTCTCAGTCAGTGTGTGCCGTCTTCCCACATGAGACCGCCCACATCAGAAAATCTTCATGTGAGCTTCCCTGATGCTGCCAATGCTCGCGGACTATTCTGAATAAAGAAGGTAAAAACTGATTTCGTTTGCAGAATTGTGTCTTTTATGCAATATATATTGCAGAACTCTGCTTTAAAGTGCATGTCAGTGTCATTTCGCGGGTTGCCAATAAGACTAGTAATTTCTCTTCGCGGTTTTCATTAGCATGCATTTAGTAGCGTATTATCATTAGTTTGGGCAGACCCATTTAAGGCCCCGCTAAATGAGACGATGCTTTTGAAACGTTGCAATTCAGTGTTCATGTGATGATGCTTTTATCCGTATAACATAAAGCAGCATAACAAATCTTGTTTGTAAAAAAACTAATGTTGTAGATATTAGACTGTAAGTCAATCCACATCTCTCCATATCTCTAGTAGTGCCACTGTTTTTGTCCTGGTCTGTTATTTAAATGAAGATCTTGTAAGTTTCTCTGTTTTGTCTGCTTTGTGATTCAATATTATTGGACGACAGAGCGTTCATCGGGTTAATCTAATTTATTGCTATCTTAAGGTCCTTCTCTGTCCATCTGGTTCTTTCTTTTAACATCTCTCCTTTTGTACCCCCTTACCTCCTTTAAAGAGTGGTGGGTAATTCCTCCTGACATGTCATATTTAATTCATAAGCTCTCCTACACTGGCTTTTGCGTTTAGTTTGGCTTAGTTTTTGCGTTCGTCCAAGTCTGTATTGCTTTTAGGCTTTATTTGTTATTAATTCTAGTGTCTCACTAGTTTGTCTAAAAATGCAGTCTGCATTTGCCTCATCTAGGACAGGTGGCAGTTGTAATGATTCCCATTATGCATCTGGATTCTGTGTGGGGAAAAATATGAACCTTTCACTCATCAGGAGGTGCTCCGCTCCAGTCGGTTTAATAATTCCTGCTGGCATTGTGAATAGATGACAGCTGAATGTGACTTTTAAAATGCCACACCTATAAAGGAATATGTCAGTTGCTTGTTCGAGTGCTATCAGACAATATATTTGGTTCACCTATGAAAATATATCTGTTTTTGTATCTCTCTCTCTCTCTCTCTCTATATATATATATATATATATATATATATATTTACATTATGTACATATCATCTATATATCTATATCTACATATCCTGAGAGAGAGAGCGATAATATTTGTTCTGTAAGTTTTTTTGAATGCTATAACTTTTTAAAAATCCTAGTGTTGTTTTACTGGTGATCCTAATTTTATGTGTTCTGTTCCCTCTGCCTCAGCATGAGAAGTCATTTGCACAGACATGGATAAATATGAGAGATTGAAGAAAATTGGGGAGGGATCCTTTGGGAAAGCCATCCTGGTCAAGTCAAGGACAGACAGCCGACAATATGTTATCAAGGAGATTGGCATCTCCAGGGTGAGTTGATCATTTAATTGAGTTGATCTTTTGAATAAGTATTTCAGTTATTAAAAACCTAATTGTTTCAAAATGGTGAGATATAATATATTTGATGCGGATCTTCCTATGTATGTGTGCACTATTCTTTTTCTCATCAGATGTCGAACAGAGAAAGGCAAGAATCACGCAGAGAGGTGGCAGTTCTAGCTAACATGAGCCATCCAAACATCGTCCAGTACAAGGAGTCTTTTGAAGGCAAAGCCCCCTCAGACACTGAGACATCCATATTCAGAAATGTGTATTAAGTGATATTGGAATATGATGCTTCGTTGCCCATCTCTGCCATTATGTCGACAGGCATGACAAACGGGTATCTAAAGTCTTTGGTCTTTAGTTGACCGATCTTGATTAATCTGAGAACATTAGTTCCAGCACACACCAGACCCACTGCATTTCTGTTCTAAAGACTTGTGTCTGGTTGATAGATCGGGCAGTCTGCATGATCTGGAGGAGCTCCAAGCTCTTGAATTAAATTACAGAGAGGATGTCGTTGAGCTAATGATAGTTTCTCTACATGAAGTCATGCAGCAGCAGTATCTCTGACATCTGGATGGCAGGCTAATTAATGACATAAAACTGGGGTGGTGAATGAATGTTAATGATATTAGCAATAGAGGCCGTTATGTCTGCTTAATTCCATTTTAAATTTACAGTGAAACCTAAGAGTCTCAATCTGATTTTATCACATACTTTACAGATACAATACTATCCAAAAGTTTGTAACATTAATGTATTTGAAAGATGTCTCTTATGCTCTACATTTATTTCAACAAAATATCCTAAAAAGCAGTAATATTGTGAAGTATTATTACAATTTTAAATGACTGATTTTTAATATATTGTACATTTTAAAATTAATTTTAATATATTGTAAAAGCCTCATTGTCATGCCCCTTCAGAAATCATTCTAATATGCTGATTTACTGTAAAACATTTCTTGTTATTATTAGCAGTAAAAATGTTTTTGTGGAAAATGTGATACTTTTCTCAAGTTACTGTGTTGAATAGAAAGTTCAAAAGAACAGCTTTTTAAATATAAATCTTCTGTAACATAATAAATATGTTTACTGTCACTTTTGATCAATTTAATGCATGCTTTTTTATGATTAAAAAAAAATCTTACTGTTTAAACATTGCTGTTACTTTGTCATTGAAGTACAGTAATGTTTCTCTCTTTTTCTTCAGAGAGTGGTTGTTTGTACATAGTAATGGACTACTGTGAGGGAGGAGACCTGTTTAAGAAGATCAATAATCAGAGAGGGACTCTATTCTCTGAGGAACAGGTACGAGGAACAATATAAAGACATCGAGTTGAGCTCCACACCTAACAGGCCACAAATTATCAAAGCTTTAAAGTTTTTTTCTCACTCCTACAAAAGTGAATAGTACCTATGAAAAATCTGTTTAGAGTCATGTGTACTCATATGAGATGAAGGATCCAGTCTTACCAGCTGCTAACCTGTTTTATTCTATATAGAGTGGGTCGCCCCATGGGGGTGGCAACATTGGACCAGCCAAATGCATCTTAATATACCATTAAATAATAAACAAAATAATGATGTAAACTTTGAATTTCTTTTATCATAACATAATAAAATATCCTTAGTTGTTGAATGTTAGCAAAAAACCCATTTTAACCTCAAGAATAATCTTGCAATGTTATCATCTGAAATACTGATCCCTGTCTGTTGTTTTCTGGAAGATTCTTGATTGGTTTGTACAGATCTGCCTGGCTCTGAAACACGTACATGACCGCAAAATCCTACACAGGGACATCAAATCACAGGTACCGCTATCTCTCTCTCTCTCACACACACACACACTTGAACATTGAACATTTCTATGGGAATACAGCATAATGTACAATATCCTTAGACTTGGTTTACATAACATGATATCTGCTTTTGTTTTCTATCAAGAATATTTTTCTGACCAAAGATGGTACCATACAGCTGGGTGACTTTGGAATCGCAAGAGTTTTGAACAGGCAAGTATTTCGATTTGATTTTAAAACAGCACAAGGAATGACCTTCATATGTAATGTGGTTGTGTGTGCAGCACCGTGGAGTTGGCGAGGACATGTATTGGCACACCTTACTACCTGTCACCAGAGATATGTGAAAATAAACCATACAACAACAAGAGGTAAAGTACTTCCTGTTCTGAGCCAGAGGGTTATATATGGGCAGTACAGTAGCTACAGAGCACTCAGTAACTTGTACAGTTTGCTGTATCAATGATGTAAGTTTATATGAGTTTCTCTGATCCCAGCAGCTACGTATTGATCCCAAGTCATTTGTTCCTGGACTGTTTGTAACTTGATCAGTCTGAATATTTTTAGCCACTATTGATGAACACCAGCTGTGTTACATTACTGTTAAAAGGATTAGGGTCGGTAAGATTTTTTTATTATTTTTTTGAAAGAATGATCTTAAGCTCAACAAGGTTGCATTTATCTGATAAAAAAAAACAGTAAAAATAATAATACTGTGAAATATTTTTACAATTAAAAAAACTGCTTTCTATTTGTATATATTTTAAAATGTAATTTATTCC